TGTGCCCCTTCGGGGTTGACGAGGGACTCTTGACCTTTCAGAGATTTGACGGGCTGCCTCTACTGACTTCGAGAGGTCAAGTTGAATCTTCGGGACCTAACCTAGCCACGATCTACTGACCTTTCAGAGGACGTATGCCAGACCTTTCAAAAGGTCAACGGTAAACTTGCCTTTTCAGAACACCTACTGACGACCCTAAGACTTCTAAACAATAGACCTACGGATCAAATCCACACGACCCGGGCTTCACACACAAAGCATTTACACACGGGTTTGGGGACAGGTCGTGGGTTCAAGGCACACGGGGTCAACGAACAACACAAACGTACTGTACACTGGGTTGGGGAAAGTCTGGGGATCAAGCCCCGGTATCCGCAATTGTTGCACGAACTGGGTGAAACCCTTTCATCAGTCTGTCATAGTTCTTTTCTGTTCGTTTTCACACTAGGTTGCATGACTCTCAGTGATTTTGTTGGGAAGGGCACTTGTGTGCTTGAATATTCAAATGAAGAAACCGATCATTCTTCAGTACCTTGCTTGCAGCTTGATGGTATCATTCATCAGGGAATCTGAATCAGTGACCGTTGTCATAGCAGCATCACTGAGAGTCTGAGATCTCAGTCATAACCATCCATCACTGAAAGAGATTTTCCCTCTTAGGATCATCACAGCCCCAAGGTGTCTTTGTCCCGTAGTCCATAAGGAAGAACCATCCGCAAGAACAAAAAGAAAAGTGCTCTTTACAAGAATGGTACATATCTGAGTTACCAACCGGGCCGCCCGGGTCACCTTGGTTGCCCAGGGGGCCTGGCCTGGCAAGGACCAGGGAAGGTCCCTGTAAAAATAAAAATATAAAAATATAAAAAATCCGGAAAAAGACTATCCTGGAGGTATAACTGAGAGAAGAATATAGCTTGGGGAAAAAAAAAAAAAAAAAAAACGACAACAACACGAGAACAGTTTTGGTCTCATGTCCTGAAGACGAGGCCTTGGCAAGGTGAGTCTCAGCTGCTGAATCCTTGCCCTGGCCCCTCCTGATGAAACAGCCGCAGCAGCTGAACTACACACACTCCAACTGGTAGGCCCTTGGCTTGAATCACCACTTTAGGGTATGGTCTGTCTGTAAGCAGTTTCCGGTAGATCGTAGGAATTCAAAAAATGAAAATGGAATCCAAGGAAAGTCCAGTAACATCCAGAAGCGGCAAGCGAACCTGGCCGACAGGCCAGGGATCAGTACCGGTCCGAAAACTCCAAGATTGTGAAAGCAGAGAGTGCAAAAGAGCAGCTAGAGTGATCCGGCAGACACTTTGTAGTTTGAATTGTTGCGCAGGCGTTGCGCTTTGCTTCTGTGGCCAACTTCGAGTACGGCTTCGCTGGCGACCATTGGGTAGTCAATGGCGCAGGGCGTCATACCTAGGGCAGGGGGGGGGGGAAGAGAGAGAGAGAGAGAGAGAGAGAGAGAGAGAGAGAGAGAGAGAGAGAGAGAGAGAGAGAGAGAGAGAGAGAGGAAGACATTCAGAACCCTAAGGGTTCAGAAAATCAAGATAATTAACTGTATATGAACATGCCTTCCTGTCATGTAAACCCTAAACACTAAATCCTAAACCCTAAACACCAAACACTAAACACTAAATCCTAAACCCTAAACACCAAACACTAAATACTAAATCCTAAACCCTAAACACAAAACACAAAACCGCTGGATTGAAAATGGACTATCACCTGAAACCCTAAACCCTAAACCAGTACAAGTCCACCTCCGTCAAAGCGTCTAGCAGTAGACAAGGAGGCAGCACTTTCTATAGACTTGACCATTTTCTGGGATGACATCTTCTTCGACATGTACTCTACCAGTCTCAACTTTCTACCCTCTGCTTGCAGTAGCTCTGCGCCTATACCAAAGTGGTCGGCCTCAGTGGTATCAATTAAAGGGTTCTCTGGTTCTGCGATATTCGGAACTGGGTGATTGATTAAGGCTTAGTGCAGTTGCTTGAAGGCCTTCTCACATGCATTGTCCTTGTCTCAGGGGGTATCAGGCGATTGAGATCAATCAGAGGATATGTTATAGTGCTGTAACTCTCTAGAAACGGTATGTAATAGCCTGTTGTCCCTACCGTCTTCACCCGAATATAACGCCCGGTCATTATAGCCGTATTTGGCGCCATTTTCTGTCGAGATGCAGCGATAATGACCGGGCGTTCTATTCGGGTGAAGACAGTAGGAATGATCTCACCCCAGCGACAGTTCCGGGTCATGGCCAGTCCCTAATGGCTGCCACTTTCGCATCCTCTGGCCGTAAACCTTTTGTAGAAATCTAATGTCCCAAGTAAAAGACCTTGCTGCGTGCCAACTCACTCATTTTGTTGTTAATCTTATGTTCGTGTTTTCCGAGGAGATTAAAAACAGTCTGTAAGGCTGTAAGTGCTGTGTGTGCTCCTCCATAGTCTTACTAAAGAAAAGTATATCGTCAAGAAAGACAATGGTTAACTTATCTATGTATAGTGAAAAAAGATTCTACTCATTGCATGATGGAATGTACAAGGCGCATTGCAGAGCCCAAAAGGCATCACCACTCAAGGAACTGTTTTTGAAATACAGACCCAAGTTCGAATCCAGATTGAATGAGATGAACAGAATCAAATGATTCTGAAATCCCTGGTGTAGGTCAGCTCGAAGATGATATCTCAAGGCCGTTGCCCCTTTTTTTTCTTTTTTTTTTTTTAGAAGGCATCACCACAAACATGTACAGGCCATACCTGGTCTGCAATGCAATTTTCTGCTGGTCCTCGGATCTTACCTGCATCTGGTGGTACGCGGACTTCAGATCTATCTTGCTGAAGTACTGATAATGTCTGACATCCATGCACCCAGTCCAAGAGGCCATCGATGCGGTGAGATCATTCCTACCGTCTTCACCCGAATAGAACGCCCGGTCATTATAGCTGCATCTGGACAGAAAATGGCCCCAAATACGGCTATAATGACCGGGCGTTATATTCGGGTGAAGACGGTAGGTACAACAGGCTGTTACATACCGTTTCTAGAGAATTACAGCACTATAACATATCCTCTGATTGATTTCAGTCGCCTGATACCCCCTGAGACAAGGACAGTGCATGTGAGAAGGTCTTCAAGCAACTGCACTTGCCTTAATCAATCACCCAGTTCTGAATATCGCAGAACCAGAGAACCCTTTAATTGATACCACTGACAGGGTCACCAGCCCGTACGTACGGAGGTCCTCGGGCCGACCTCCGTACGTACGGGCGTTCGGGGTCCCGTTCGGGGTCCGAACCCGACGGCGTTCTGTCCCCGCCAAAAATTATTTCGGGGCCTAAAAATAAGTTTTTTTTTTCTGAATTTTTTTTTGAGTTCTCTATGATGTGAGGTACATGCCTATAAATTTTGAAGTCATGTTGCCAAGCCAAACAGAAATTAAAAATCGCAGGGGGGCTTCTCCCCCCCAAAGGAGGTAATGCATGAAAAAAAAAAGGAGGTCATGTATGAAAAAAAAAAAAAAAAAAAGGGCCGGAAGGCCCGATTTGAAATAGTTCAAATCGGGCCTACCGGCCCTTTTTTTTCCCCACGCTGCTTCTAGTTTCCCGCCTCACTTCGGCCGACTGCTGCATTCGTCGTTGCCTTCGAACCGCGCGCCCGCCAACGCAGTCGACGCTCCCCGAACGCCATCGCGCTGCCCGCCGACGCCCCCCGACGCGCGCCACGGTGAGTGTGTTAGTACGAGAGAGAGAGAGAGAGAGAGAGAGAGAGAGAGAGAGAGAGAGAGAGAGAGAGAGAGAG